CGGCAGGCCGTCCCGGCTTCGTCAGTAGGACCAGCTTCCCGCTCTTCCAGCACTCAGGGAAGCGTCCCGACGCCAAGCTAGCGTCGAACACCTCCCCGAGGCGGTCTGCCATGTGGTTGAGGGCCAGGGCCAGCACTCGGGCCGGTACCCCGTCTGGCCCAGGGGCGGTGTTCTTGGAACGGATCCGTAGAACAGCCGCCCCTACCTCCGAATCCCGGACGGGCGGAACATTGTCCTCCCCGTGCTCCCCGTCGTCTCCGGCCAGGGAGGCCATCGACGGGGGAGTGTGTTCCGCTCGTTGTGGGAAAAGGCCCTCAACCACTTCTCGCAGGAAGCTGGGCTGGAGAGTCTCCGTAAGGGGGGGGCCCGACGCGCGGAGCTTTTGTCGCACCGCGCGGTAAGGGCGACCCCAGGGGTCACGATTAAGACCCTCCAGCATCTCCTGTCTTTTTTCCTCTTTGGCGCGGCTAATGGCCAGCTTCAGAGTTTTCCGCGCCCGTCGGTACTCCTCATGAAGCCGGTCCTCCTCACCGTCTCCACGGTGACGCCGCCGACTGCGCGTGTAGGACCTCCGGGCACGTGTACAGGCCGCACGGAGGTCCGCCAGCTCCTGGGACCACCAGTAGACCTCCTTCCTTGGAGGCCGACGACCTCGAACGCGGGGCATGGCCGCATCGCATACATGCGTAATCGCATCGCGAAAGCGGCCAGCCCCCACGTCGACCTCCTCGGTCGGAGCCTGAGGAGACAGCCACGAGTGAATTATGGCTGCCTCCTCTAGTAGGTCCCGGTTCAGCCTGGCAACAGCCCACCGCGGAAAGCGGGATAAACGCCGCGCCACGTGACCCCTACTGGAGTCCTGGGTCCGGGAGAGCTCAAATCGGATATACAGGTGATCCGAGAGCGTCTCAACCTCTTCCAGGACACACCAGTTCCTTACTCGTGCGGCGAGGACAGGGGTAGCGAACGAAAGGTCCACTATCGACCCCCCCCTGCTGTCGCACGCACGTGTTGGTGGAGCCTCTGTTTAGAAGACAGAGGCCCACCGAGGCCGCCCACTCCTCTACGGCCTCGCCCCTGGCGTCCGTCCTGGGGGAACCCCACGCAATGGACTTTGCGTTGAAGTCCCCCAGCACAAGGACGTGCCCAGACGCTAGTCGCCGTATCGAGGTCTCCAAGCTGGTTAGGAAAACCTCGAAGTCGTTCAAACTCCGGTTGGGGGAGAAATAGACACCATATATGGTGATCCCCCCCCACTCGACGGCAACATATCCAGTGCCCTTGTCTCTTAGCGACAAGGGCGGGGAATGAGCCGTCGTGGAACCGACGACTGCCACGGAGCCGTCCCAGTCACCCATCCAGTTTGGACGGGGAGGGACAGAATAGGGCTCCGCGACTACGGCAACACCTATCGACCACTGTGCCATGGTTTGCAGGAAGAGATCCTGCGCCGCGGCACAGTGGTTCAGGTTCGTCTGGACCAGGAGGTTGGAGACTTGATCCATTACTGGATCGTCTCTACAACCTCCTCCATGGGCGACGACGTCGACGCACGAACTACATCGGAGGCAGCCTGGGTCGACTGGCTAAACCCCGACGTCTGCCGAGAACTGCGGGGAGGCTTGCAGCCTCTCTGCCCCATCTGGTGATTGGCGGGCTTATTGCCCGCCGCACACACTGGGCAGTGAGGGGCGGCAGAGCATTCTGCCGCCTTATGCCCCGGTTGACCGCAGCGGAAACACAGTCCGCCGCAGTCAAAGCAACTGTCGCACTTGACGCGCGTGTGTCCCGTGGCCAGGCATTTAAAACACCTCATCGGTCTCGCCGCCAGGACTGTGATCCTGGCGCTCACGAAACCGATGAGCAGCCTGCCGGCGTCGGCCAATACTTTGGCCGACGCTACGGGACAGCTGACCCACACGGCGCCAAGCCCTCCTGGACCGGGGCGGATGGTGCCGACCCTGACGTTGTCCGCGCTGCACCCCGTCTTCTCCCGGATTACAGCGCGGACATCTTCGGCCGTCACTGAGTCGTCCAGGCCCGAGATGCGCAGTTCCGCGCACTTGGTAGGCCTGGCGACCCTGACACCATCAGTGGCCGCAAATATTCCCCGCAGCCTCTCGGCGAAGGAGTCCGCCGTCTTTGCGCCTTCAGCCCCAGGGAACTCGAGGACTCGAGCTCCCGTCTGGGCGAGGCGCATCCTGACCCCCACCGTTCCAAAGTCGTTAGCGAGGCTGTCCCGGGCCTTTTTAAACACGGCCGCGTAGGACAGCCCGCCGTCCGCCGCCTCCGGGGACACGGTCACCACTACAGCCGCGGTTTTGGGCGGCTGCAGCTTCCGCGGCCTCTTTGTGGAGGCCGTTGCCACCGGTGGCGAAGGCTGGGCCTGGGCTGCTTTTTTGGCAGCCTTTTTGGCCCGCCTTCGGGACTTCTTGGAGCCCCTCGCCTCCTGCCAGCCCTCGTTGGAGGGGGCAGGTGCGGAGGGGCCCGGCAGGGGTGTCGGAGTGGGGAGCGGAGGGAATGCCACTCCGCTCCTCGGCGCCGTTTTAGGCCCCGTCTTGGCCGGCACTTTGGCCTGCGCCTTGGCCGGCGCCTGGGACGGCGCCTTGGCCGGCGCCTGGGCCGGTGCCTTGGCCCCCCTCCTCGGCTTTTGGGGAGCCGATGGAGTCGGGGCAGACGCCGCCGCCGCGTAGGAGACGCGGCCTCCCACTACGGGGAGCGCGGTCGGAGCGGCGGCCTTAGGCCGCTGTGCCGACGCGAGCGGGGGGCGCATAATCGGCGCAGGAGGCAATCTCGCCTCCAGGCCAGCCAGGCGTCCGTCCAACATATTCCCAACTGCGATGAGGATTTCTCGCAGTTGGGAGTCAAATGCCCCTGAGTTGGTGGTAGGGGCAGGCTGGGACGCGGACGGGGCTTCCCGCTCGGGGAGGTTCGCCTGGAAGCGGGCGAACTGAGCGCTCAACTCGTTCACCCGCTCCGTCAGCCTCTCGTTGGCCACCTGCAGGCGAGACACATCGCCCACTAGGCCCTCCACGACCTCCGACAAAGCGGAGGAGGAGTCCTTAAGGGCCCTCACAAACGAGCCCTTAAGGTTCACGGACTTGGTGGCCACCTTGTGAATGACGGCCACCGCCGCTTTCGCCCTCTCCTGCACGGACACGGGAGCCTGGGGGGCATTTCCCCCCACCGGCTCCCGAACCTTGAGCAGGAGATCCGCGATCTCCTCCTCCGCTACGGCCTCGCCGTCCACCCGTACGTTCCTGTACGACTCCGCGTTGGAGAACGCGGAGCCTGACGGGGTCGAGACCGGGGCCGAGGCAGGTTTGCGTGCCCTCCCTCGGCGGCTGCTTGCCACCTTCGGTGGCATCATCTCCTGGGACGTGTCGGTTTCCTCGTCCCTGGAGCGTCCTCGTTTCCGGCTGTCGCTTCGCTCCGCCTCCATGGCGTCAGCGCCATCCGACGAAACGGCGGATCCGGAGCGCAGCCGATCTGATGCTCTTCGGCTCCCAGAGACCAGCGTCAGACTGACTTCTGGGAGCCCCATCGAGATAGGCGTCCCCGACGCCACCTCACCCTCAGTGGACGACCCATCCGCTCCACTGTTCTTCTTCTCCCTTGCACATTTCGTTGCAGTGTCCGTTTTGCTTGCCTTTTGTTGTTGTTTTAATCCGATCGTTTTCTTTGTGTTAGTTTTATTATTGTCCATAATTGATCCCACGAGTGGGGGAGAAATACAGGTCCACCCGGGCAGAGATCCCCCATTACCCGGGCAAGCGTAAGTTTTTAACCCAACCGAGGGGTCCGCAGGTACCTCGGCTTGGAGTGCGCTCGCGACTGAACTTCCCATCAGCCATGCATCCCCTGGCCACGCACCAGAACACGGGATTCGGGGAATTTTTTAGAGAGGTTATCTTCCTCGCGGTCCGGGCGGTTAAGCCAAGACCCTCGCCCCCGATCAGAGCCGCGAGACTTAACCACAGCGCTCTTCTCGGGATTACGATATGCCGACGGTTGACAGGGAGACTACGTCCCCCTGCCTGCTCGGTGGTAGTGTGAGTACACGCCGAGCCCGTCCTCCTTTCTCCACCGCTGTCAGCGGAGAAACTGTGGCCCCTACAGGGCCCCGCCATCAGGTTTTTTACCGAGGTTTCCTCCTCCATGCTCCGAAGAGCGAAGAGCCAGCAGGGCAACCGGCAGACACGCCCACCCTGCTGGACCAGGCCTTGCCCGAGAGCCGATGAACGGCTGCCTCTTCTGCTAGAATATTGGCCGCTGGCGATAATCCTCTCCTCCAAGAGGACAAGGAGGGAACAGTACCACCGCCAGCGTTTCCAGGGTGCACCACGAGGAGGTTTTCTAGCCCAGCACCCCAAGCAAACCCTATACCAACCCGTCTGGCCAGCGTGGTATAGTAGGCCAAAACCTCCATTGTAGGGAGATTCCTATGTCCAGCAGTGGACTGTTAAGGGCTGTTGATGATTGATGATGATGATTTCATTACGAGTGACTTAAGTGCCTAGTTAAATTACGAATGAGTTTCGAATTACCGTACAACCTCGTGTGTACGGTAATTCGAATAAATACCATACCAATACGGCATACCAATAAATTTGATCCGACGAGCCGAAGTAGCGTCGTCGTCTAGTTTCATACCTAAAACGAAGAGTATTTCGTAGGTATGATCCCCTTTAAAAGTTAAAAAGTATAAAAGTGATGACGGTACTGTTGCTCTGGTGGTTAGTGACCATGGCTGTAAAACCAGAAATTAGGGGTTCGATTACCACACAGGACAAATATTTCTATGATTATTATACGTGTGGTTATTGATTACGGAGTATCACCACCCCTATTTATCATGTTGGTGTCGTTAAAACCGACTAAGGGAGCAAACTACGCATGACAACATCACTGCAAAGAGTTTAGTTGCTTCGTGGTCTCCAATACTTTATATTAGATTTAATAACAAAAAATACTTGTTTTAACATTTCTTTTCATTTCAGCATCATCACCCTATGACCCACTACTCTTACTTCGGAAGCAATGATGCCAGTGACTACAGTGCTGATTACAGCAATAGCTATGCACACTCAGCAACCGGAGGCTATGGCAAAGACTGGGCATCGAACCGCGCATACAACATGGCTAAACACAGAGCAACAGCTCCTCCCACATACATCACGGCACCTGGGGCAGCTGTTTAAGTTGATAAAAAGCCATACGTTCAAAGATTAGCTGTACAATATATTATTTATTCTAGATTTTTAAGAAAACAAGGGCATATGTTCGACTTATAATATAATTAATATTTGTTATATAATATAATTGTTATATTTGAATCAATATTATATCTTGTTTTTTTTTTTTAATAATCGGTCATCCTGAGCTACGATTAAGAATACGACTGTCGTGATGCAATTGAAATGTCTGGTTAGTATTGAATCTGCAGTAATATAATGGCTAAAGCATCGGACTTAAAATTTAGTATTTACGAGCGCAAAGAACTTACGAACTTACTGATAACAAGCTTTTAGTTAACAGTTTAACACCAATCCTAATAATGGGTGATAGTCCTTCTTTTATTTCTTAGTCACGAACACAGTTTAGGCTTTAATAAATCTGCATCGATAGATAGAAGTACTGCTTTGAATTTACAAAAATATATTTAGTAAGGTTATGGGCTGCATTAACTTCACGCTACGACTGAGATGAGCATCAATGAATAACGTTCCAAAAACGAGACGAAATTATTCATTTTTAGAGATGCAGAAAACATTACGTGGTTGAGCTATTATAGTTATAAATCTTGTAACTAACTTAATTTTTTTCACTTCTTCACTTGACTGCCTTCGGTTTAGACTGCTCCATCATCAAGACAGTCAACCCGAGACCTCAACACAGCAGTCTCATAAGCTACCGAGCTTATGTGACTGCTGTGTTGAGGTCTCGGATTCGATTTCCGGGTCAGGCCTACATGAGCTGTATGAGCTACAAATATTTGTTTTAGAGTTTGGGTGTTTTGTATCTATGTACAAAAAAAGTATTGAAGTATTCTATCAGTCAATCTAGTTTTTATAGTACAAGCTCTGCTCAGTTTGAAACTAGATAGCGTTGTGTTATATTGTCAGATGTCCGAAATAAATATTAGCATTGTTTGTATATTTTCCATCAATCGAAACAGTACTTTTTTTGGTTGAATAGTTAAGGCATGATAGCGTTACGGACAAACAGTCAGACAAAGTTACTTTCCAAATGTATTTAATAAGTAAGACTATTTGAAAAGGTATAAAAATATTACTTGGAGAGAATATCATACCGTTGAAGAGCCAACGACACAAATGGGTTGGCTCGATTTTAGTGATAACACGGCCTCACAGAAAACCAGTGTTCAAGCAATTCTTTCACCAATTGAGTAAGGTTGGCGGAGCTAAGAAACCCTTCTCTATTTCTAGGATGGGGGGGGGGGGGGGGGGGGGAAGAATACAAAGGGCAACAACACGCATGTAACTCTTTAGTTCTTCAATCAGGTGACCCGTCTGCTCTCTGCTGCTACATAATGTAAAGGAAAGTTTATGGTCGTAAAGCAAATACTTTAGAAGTCAGATGCTAAATTTGGGAGTATATTACTATATCATGATCATTATCATCAACAGCCTCAAATAGTCAACTGCTAGACACAGGCATCACCTCAGAAAGGAGGTTTTGGCCTACTACACCACCTGGACAGTCGGGTTGATATGGGATTTGTTTCAAGTTTTCCTTCTCTTTTCAGTGATGTTACCCTGAGTAGTTTGTTCTCTTAGTCGGCTCTTACGCCACCCACGGGAAGTATAGGGGTGGTAACATTCCGTATTCTTAATCCGTCACCAAACGGGTTTAACTAGATACTTCCAAATTAAGAAGGGAAGCAGTTTGAAGAATGGTTTGGGGCATTAAGCAATAACTCGAATAAATTATACATAACTGCACAGATGGTATAGTGGTTGATTGGCCACTACCTACTGCGCTGAGTGTTGTTGGTTCGATCCCCAGATGGGACAACTCTTTGATTGATCCATATTATTATATTGTTGTTCTGAGTCTGGCTGTTATTTGTGTCGGTTTCACAAATATCTAAAGTCTACAAAGTCTGTAAAAAAATTAGATTGCTTATTTCTAGAAAATCCAAGCGTACTTTATTAATTTTATTACATAGGTATAGTAAGTGGCTTCGGCGCACCTGAGGCAACAAAGTGATATTTCGTTTCACAGAAAACCTGTATTCTTTTCAAGCAATTACTGAATGAGTGAGGTTACCGAAACAACCCCCTCTAATACTCGGTAAGGGGCGGGGGGGAATCGTTTGAATTTCAGGCGACCATGGGTAGCCCCAATTTACCATAAAAAATGATTCATTTTAGAAGACAAGTTTTACCTACTCTTGGTAATATGCATGAATAGTTGAGAGAAATATTCAAAGGCGGTTTATAAAGTTTAAATTTTAAATACACTTTAAATAAGAATCTCAGCGTATAATCAAAATTTCTTAAACAGTTTGCTGAATATATATTTGACGAGCTCGTTAATAAGCTATGAATATTCCACTAACAGTGAATACCTTTGTATATAAAGATTTAGTAACGAGGTTCAAAAAGCATTTGAAACTTTAGACGTTCTGTGTGATCTACCATCAGTTTGAATAAATTAATACAAAATTATTGTTGGATTGTAGATTAATGGAATAAGATAATTATATGTATACACTTGAGAGCAATAAAACGTTTTGATGGCCAGCACGCAGTTCGGACTTCAATTCAATGGAGTGTGATTGGGACGAGCCTGACGATGCGTAAGACAACTAAATCTTCTCTAGATAACGCTTCTAGAGCTCAAAATTGCTCCTACAGAGGAATTTAAAAAGACTTCAAGGTTGGGGAATATTTGAGTTCTTCTGAAATTTAAGGTATCTTTCTATGAGCCGGAGCCATAGCTCTCGAGTGTATTTCACTGGTTTGCTTGAATGTCGACGTAATTCGAAATTTATTTAATGAAATAAGTATGCCAAACGGTCATAAATATTTGATTTGTTAGTGAAAAATAAGGAAAAGAACACTCTAAGCAATCAGACTAGCATAGTTTTTAATGATTCTAACTGTTAAGCCTGAGCCTGAGCCTGAGCCTGTCATGGGTTCAATTCCCACCCAGGGCAAATAATGTTTGCTGAGCACGAATATTTGTTATGTATCTGGGTGTAATTAATATAAAATGTGTATGAATGTTTATCAGCATGCTGGCTACTCTCCACTCATCTATGTACACGTCGGGATCTGATGGTATCACTCTCCTGGTCTTACGTATCTTTGCACTATTGATACAAAAACGAAAGTGATTTTACCTTAAGCGACCATGACGGCGTCCCAGTTAAGACTATTTGCTTCAAAAGAGAAATTACAGGGTGTACTTGACTTTGCAGGTCATGGATGGACACAATGGACATAGCTGGACAAAGCTATGGACAGAGTGATGCATAAACTCTCCAGCAGGAAGTGTCGGCACCCTCAATTTACGTAGCAGCTGCGAAAAAGTGATCGTCATCTTCGTAAGTTTTGGAAGAACTATCCATGAACTTTGGAATCCTAAGGACTATGAGACCTGGATCTAATTTGGCCTCGTTGCCTACCAAAACACCTACCAGAGTAAGGCTTACTTACAATAGTTCCCTTGCAGGGACCATGAAAATAGAGAGCATTGGATTTATTTGGAATCACCTTTTCGCCTTCTAAAATGCACAAATCTTGCAACGACTTATGCAATCATGGTGGTATCAACTTAAAACGTTACACGTAGTAGTAACAATCCAAACTTTATATAGTTAGAAATTAGAAACAACACAATTTAATTGCGCCGTATACCTAGTACATTTCCTAACACAGGCATACCATACAGTTCAGAACCATATACTCTTTGTTATGAGCCATTAATTCTTTCATCTTTTGCGGATAACAACTTGAAAATGTAAACAGCATATAAATCTGATGTTAAAAATAAAGGAACCAAACTTTTCCCATTAACTTTATCAAATCACAGGTCCCTCGAAACAATAAAAAAAGTTTTAATCGGGTACAGATTTGACCTTTGATCCGTAACACATTGTTTACCGTCTAGCCCACACGGAGATACTTTAAAAGTTATACAAATTTAGTATATTTATTTCTTTTGAATAAAACCTATTTTTGGCATTAAAGTCAAATTTAAGTTGGGACTTTCATTAGTCCAATGTGTTGGTATGATAAGCTCTTTTAGTTAAATCTATATACCACTAGCGTTTGATTGAATTTGACCAGGGTAAATAGTAACCTTTGTGCTGTTCTCAAATATAATCTATCTATATGCCAAATCTTGTCTAGATCCAAAAAAACAGTTTTAGCTTGATTGAGTAACAAACATACGTTTTGAAAAGTTAAAAGTGTTTTTTGATAAAGAATAATAATAGTACTGAGAGTTATGAATCGATAAGTTATTAATATAGTTCCCTATACTATTTTGCATCCCTTTTTAAGGGTAATTTTTAAATATTAGTACCAACGTTGTTGAAAATGCCACTACCAGAAATAACGTAGTTTCATATAAATTACCAGCCCCCATTTGGCATCTTTAGGGGAGGAATTTTCAAAAATCCTTTCTTAGTGTATATCTACGGCACCTAAGGAATATTTGTGCGAAATTTCATGCTTCTAGACCCAGCGGTTTCAGCTCTGCATTGGTCGATCAGTCAGAGAATCAGTCTGTCAGTTTCTTCTTATATATTATAGATAAAAACTAATATTGTCCGCTGCTTTTGCTCGTCTAATTACTTTTTATTTCCCTTATATTACCCCCAAAAATTAGAGGGTGATTACAACGTAAAAAGCATCATCTGCCAAAATTTCAAATGTTTAGTTCCAACTGTTAAGGCTCTGCTTTGATGCATCAGTCAGTCAGAAAAAGTAATTAATATGTAGGTATAGATTATGTTAACAAATTTAAGTAGTCGGTTAGTTACTTTATTGCACTGCATTTACAATAACTCAATATTTACATAACTAGTTAGTAGCCTTAGAAATTCGCTTCGATGTTAATTCGCTATGTCGTAAAACAATACTGTCCTGTACGGCTAACACTGAGGATCTGCTGGAATGTTCCAGACAGAACCACGTACAATGAGGCATCTACTCGACACTAGATG